GAAAAATATAGTTACTTTAAAAAAAAAAAACTATGTTAACATGTATTGGGCTTACTACTATTTTAAAGTAACATTTTTTTAAATGTTCTCATTTGAATGTTGAATATGGTGAGTATCAGTTGATAAAACTTACATAGGAAAAATTTTAAGAGTATAAAGGGGTCCTGAGACCAAAAAGCTTGAGAACTGCTGGCCTACAGATAAACCCAGACTGGTGAGCCAAATATTGGGGACTTTCCACTATCTCATTCGATCCTGCCTTTGCAACCTTACTTATTACCACTGTCTCTGAAGCACCTGCAGGTCCTTGGCTAACCACCTATTTATTGATTTCTGCACATGTTCTGGACTTTTCTGCCTGATTTTCTGCACGCCATTCTTCTACCTGGAACACATGTTCCCTGCTTTTATCCTCCTGTCTGGTGGGCTATCCTTTGAGTACAAGGGCCTGAGGATGGAGAGACTCATTCAGACCAAACTTCAGTTTATTATGGGTATTTTCTGCATATAGCCTTCGGGATGTTTGTCTTCCTTAAATAGAATTCCTGGAGTGCAAAAGACCCAGTTTTTCCTCTGTTTATATTTTTTTACCATCTAAGGGCCAAGTAAACTTTATGGGATTTTTGTAAATATTAACTAATAATTTCTAGTGGTATCTGTAAGCTTTTATGATCCTGTGTAGATTAATCTTAGTATTTAGTGCCTGCTGTGAGCAGATACTTGGCAGTGGAAGGAGGGTTCTAAGGAAGTGATCTTTGCTTAAGGGCTTGCACTATGGTTGGGGAGACAGGATTTATAGCCAACAAGCAATCAAACAAGACACAAGAAGATATGTAATCTAAGGAATAACCAGGTGCTATAGGACTTTGGAGAAGGGGAGGTGGGGGTGGGGTGGGGGGTCATGTGTGTTTGTAGTGTTTGCAGTGTGTTTGTATTGGAGAAATCAGAGATGGCTTCTGGGAGGAGGCAGGGACTTGTTAAATAGGGAGGGTTTAGTTAGAGGTCAGCAAGGCAGGATTTCAGGTCAGCGAACAAACACAAGCCAGGGCAGAGAGTCAGAAATGAGCACAGCATGTTCACAGCCTAATGAGGAGACTGCTGACCACAGTGAAAGTGAATGATGCAAAATGATAAGGTTGAAAGCTAGTCAGAGGAGTTTAGATTGGATGTGGAAGGAAGGAGGAACCAGACTTTTTTTTTTTTCTTGGTTAGGGAAGTGACATGGTGTTTTTGAGCATGAGATGGGTTATTTGTGGGAGGAGGAAGGAAGATGGGGCACCTCATTAATAGACCAAGGGTGTGAGGTGGTGAGGCTCTGAACTAGGGTATCAGTAGGTTTTTTGAAGTGAAATATATGCAGGTAACCATATCTAGGATACCAGCTCTGTGTCTTTAAATGGTGTGTTTTATATATCAAGGCATGGGGATTAAAACTCCACAATAACGTGTTAGTGACGTAATTGGGTCTTATTACATGTGGGTGATTTAGAGCTGAAATCTTTTATTCTAGCCTTTCCTTATGTCTTATTGTCTCAGCCACTAAATAATTGTGTATGGTTTGGCGTAAGTTACTTAACCCCTTGGTGTCTTGGTTCTGTCATTTGTAAAATGAGGATATTAATAGTATTTGTCTCATAGCCTCGTTATGAGAATTAATAGTTAATACATGTAACATGCCTACACTAGTGCCTGGTACATAGAAAGCCTTCAAAAATATTAGCTATTATTTATTTATTCAATAATTCACATTATTATGGGAATGTAAATATTTTAAATTACCAATGGGCTAAAGCATTCAGAGCTGTGCTCAATGAAGGCCCTCAAAAAAGCTTACTGGAGACACTGCAAAGATGAGACTCAGAAGCTGGGATGGAAAAATGTTAAGTATTCTAATTCCATAAACTTATTAAGATCTAAAGTGTAAAACCTGGAGACCCAAATCACAATTTAATCATATCACTTCTCAGTTTAAACACCTTGACTGCCTCCCACTGCAGAGAAGATAAATCTGGTGTTCTTAGCAAGCCAGCAAGCCTTTTCCCACTGGCTTTTCATGGCCATCCCAGCCTTTCTCCCTAAGCCCAGGCAACCTGCCCCTCACACCCCATTTATTCTTTATAAAATTAGTCACGTTTTTAATGGACTTTATTTTATAGAGCAGATTTAGATTTACAGAAAAACTGCACAGAGAGTACAAAGTTCCCATATACTCTCTCCCACAAATTTTCCCTATTAAAATCTTGATAAGTATGGCACATTGTTACAATTGATTAACCAATATTGACACATTATTATTAACTAAAGTCCACAGTTAACATGAGGGTTCACTCTTTATGTTGTACATTTCTATGGGGTTTGACAAATGCCTAATGTCCTACATCCGCCATTACGGTATCATACAGAATAGCTTCGCTGACCTAAATAGCTCTGTCCTCCATCTATTCATCTCTTTCTTCCCTTTCCCATAAGTTAAGAATCCATAAAAAATGTCGTCTCTTCTGTAAAATGTCTCAGATTCCCTCAATTATAATCTTTTTAATGCTTGCATAGTACTTTCTTCAAATGTTACACCTCCTATATTCCTCATAGTATTAGAAACGTAGACACACTTTTCTTCACTAGGTTATACATCCTTTTGGGAGCAGCTATGCCATAGGTTTGTCCGGAAAACACCTAGCCTAGACACTGTTCTTAACAAGTGCCTACGGATGCCAGCCAAACTTAACTGAATTGTGAGCAAATAGGTCTCAAGAGGCAAAGCTTTAGATCTAGAGTTCTGAAAGTGAGTTGTGTACATGCTTCAGGACTCATGGGTCCCTGGATGGGAAAGTCCTTTGAAAGAAAACAGCTTCTATCCCTTCAGAATTGGGCTCAGGAGCAGCCTTGGATGAGGTGGCCCAGGTCAGCTGTATATTACTACTAGGCCACAGGGCTCTTCTCCACCTCTCCTCCTCTCCAAAAACAAGGCAAATGGAGTGGGGGAAGGAGGGAGGGAGGGAGAGAAGGGAGGGGAGAAGAGGAGAGAGAACCAGGAGCCTGGTTGTTTCCATCCTTCCAGTCCAGACAACCCCTTTCAGGAAGGTCCCTGGAGAGTCTTTTGTTTGGTTCCCCACTCTCTCCCCCCAGGTGGCTCCTGACAATTGAAGATTCCCAGTGTGACTTCTTTGGTCAAAGAGGACTTTCCCTTAATTTCTTATTTTCTTATTTCATGCTGAGCTTTTTGCTTTAAAGACACTGTTCTCAAACGTTCTGAAACGCCGTAGGAACATGCAGATCGGAACAAAAGCAAATAAATCGAATCTTGTGAAGCAACACAGCAGACACCCTTCTCCAACAGCCAGCAAAACGTTAAATGAGAAATATCAGTCATCCACTAGATACAGTATTTCCCCGCTAGACAGGAGTTGCTGTTTGCAAGCCCCTCCCCCTGCCCCCAACTGAGACAGTGGAGGCACCATGAAACAAACTACTCTCCTCAGCTCCTACACGGGCGTCAGCAGTTTTAGCAGCATTACCTATTCCTTCGACAACACAAACGGGTTGAAAGAACTTGGCTTTTACTTCCCTGTATCTGCCTCCAAACGCACATGTTGGGGAGAGAGATATGCTACCCTCCTCAGCAGCCAAGTGTCTTAGAGCCCACAGCGGCGCCAGACTTAGCTCAGGGCGGGGGTGAGGGTGAGTACGCTTTGGAAACCTAGTTAGATCTAAAGGTGCTGTTACCTGGGGCATTGAGTGCTCTCCTGAGAACCCAGTCTCCCCATCCACCGCCCTTCTGCAACCTAAAAGAGCCGAAGGAAAGGGTAGGGGACGCCGCTGGGTTCCGGAGAGGCAAGGGAGCCAGGCAGAGCCCCTAGACTGACGCGAGCGATGATTGCCCGCTTGCACCTGTGCTTCTAGGGGGCGGGGCCTTTTCAAGGTGTGCTGAGGGCAGAACGCCCGCAGGGAGCGGAGGCCGGTCGCGGGAGCTTAAGGGTCCCATCCTTCTGTCCCGAAGATATGCAGAGGGGAGGAGCGGTTAATCCGCACACTGCATTCCTGGGATCCGCAGGCCTCGCCTGCCTCTTTCATGGGGGAAAGGGGTTGAGCACACTGCGGCGCTGAGGGGGTTAAGCGGGCGGCCCGCGGCTGGAGCGCGCTTAACCCTTTGGTGCCCGTGGGTCAGCCGAGCCAGGCTGGGGTGGCAGCACCCCGAGTCTCACGCGGCGACATCCCAACCGCACGGGCCGTGCGGGGAGAGCTCCGGGC